GAGGAGGGAGGGAGACTGATGGAGGAGGAGAAGGCAGGAGGGAGACTATGGCAGAGGAAAGGAGCCTGATGTGGAGGACGAGAGAGAGGGTGCCCGGGTGCCTGCCCGGGGGGGTCGCCCGGCCGGGCGACCTGGGGGGCCCCGGGCGCCCGGGCTGGAAAGCTAGATGGGTGTGAGTTTTTTGAACTTTTTTGAAGTTTTTTCAGACATTCCTTTGACCAGCAAACCTATCCTCTGCCGTAATTCTGGACATACCGTCGACCGTATCCTTGCTGATATCCTTGTCCCAATTGGTTAACGCCTATCTGAGGTGGTTCCCAGTTTCCTCCTTGACCATTATTACCTCCACTACCTACCCCTCGTTCTACTTGACCCACAGAAGGAAGGATGGGAAAAGGAAAAGGAAACCCTACAGGTTGGATTTCGAGTGTGTTTGTTAGTACCATCCAGTGCGCATAGTCTCTATTAGTCTGGACTGCCCCACATGGTATGACATGCTGGACGAAGAGCAGGAAACTGACATTTCGTTAAAACTGACATTTTTTCCTAAATTCACGAAAGTGGACTTAGACAAAATTTCATTGCTCATTGGGTGAGAAAGTGGTTATCTCACTTCGTCCATCTGATATACCTCAACGTAAAGTACCGTTAACATACATCCGATGATCAGATCATTGAGAGTTGCCACGGCACCCAATGGTCTGATCATCCAACGTCATGGGGACAAAAAAACACTAAAAATGTTGTTTTTCTGTACGCTCAATTTCGTGAATTTAGAAAAAAAATGTCAGTTTTAACAAGATGTCTATTAGGAGGAGAATGCAGCAGAGGAGGAGCACAGGGAGGAGGTGGCGGAGAATTGGGAGAAGGAAAAGGGGGAGCAGGTGTGCATTAGCTTGTTTTAGTAATTGGAGAGAAGTTCAGAAAACTTAGAAAAAGTAGACATGAGCACAGAGGGAGAAGCGGAAAGGACAGCATACAGTCAAGGGGAAGGACCTATATTTGAGATCACGGCTCTACGAGAATATTTGAGAGCTTGGCAGAGGTGAGATCACATATAGTATATCATGCTAGGTTGACACTATCTCCCTCCCAGTTGGGGAATCGGATTGCAGTGTTTATTAGGTATCTCCGTTGGTTAAAGCAAACAAAGGACCGAAAATCCTTTTGTCAGTGGTTCGAACCCACTACTTCTAAACACGCAACATCAATCTCTTAAGAAACTCAACTTGGTCAACTTGCCGAATACGTAGGCTAAGGAGTAAGGACGGGTTCGAAACCATCATTCGTGAATTTGCACAATTTTGCAGCCCGATATATTACCTTTATGTTACTTAATTCGAAGGATGTGATCTGTTTTGTGTCGTCAAGATTTCACCTGTACAGGGCAGAACGCCGATAGTCGGCATAGGTGAAGAGACGAGCAAAGAGCTCGGCAGGGTGAAAGCGTTGGCAAGCGTACATACTACATCTTCTATAATGTGTTTTCATTGTATTGTCATTTCGGGCACTGTCTGTGTCTTTCTCTCTCCGTCTCCGTGTGTCTCTTTCCGCATGCGTCTTTGTCCGTCCCTATAACTCATTGTCTCTGTTTATTTCTGTCCACTGCTCTGTGGGGCTGTCTGACCATCTGTGGCGTCGAAGGTCTGTTTTCATGTGTCTCCATTTTTGCCTATGTTTTCTGTTGCTGTGTGCTTCTGTTTGTATCCCTGGCTCCTCGGTTCCTCTCTCTCTCTCTCTCTCTCTCTCTCTCTTGCGCGCATGTGCGCGCGTGCACTGTTTCGAGGGCCCGACTCCATGCAGTAGTAAATGTTGGGAGTGCTGGCTCAGCAAAAACGTCGCACCATTGGCACGTAGATTGAAGTTGTTTTCGTCACCAACACTTGGGCTGATTAGGGCAATGGTTGGACCAGAACAAAAGCACCAAACATTTTCTGCTCTAACCATTTTCTTTGATTTTAGAGAACTATGGGTGAGCTTTGGTACATTCCATGGCAAAATTCCACCCTTGAGCAAGCTTTGGTATATTTCATGGCAACATTGAGCTTGCTCACCCGAGCCTCACCCAAGCCCTTGACTGATCGGCTGCCGACAGCTGGTCAGATGGTCAGCACCTACCAGTCGGGGTTCGTCGGCACCCTGCCAAAAAAAA